TATTAATTATTTTTAATTAAAATAAGTAAATTTTTAAAAAATATTAGTTAAAATATTTTTAAAAATGCAAGTAGATAATGAAAATTATCTTATTGCATTCATTTAAAATTGGTTTTTTTTAAATTTAATTTGAAATTTAACAATTAATATTAGAAATTTAACTGATAATTTATCAAATTTTCTAGCAAATTTTTTGGACTTGACGCATTTAATAATAGAAAAAGTGACAAAATTGATAAAAAGTGGTATTTTTTATCGGAAATACTTTCGACAAAATGGAAAAATTATGTTCTTCTATTTCGTCGAAAGTATAATATATAATTTACATATAATATAGTAATAATGGATTACCAAAACACTAGTTTATTGTAAGAATTGTGCATAAAATTTGTGTCTGATGAATTCAGTATTTCATTTTATCCATAAGATTTAATGTATTGCAACTTTTAACCAGCACTCATCTTTTACCGAGTTATTTTATTCTGTGCTAGTGCACAGTAAATACATACAACGCGTATATCTAAATGTTTAATGTTTGTATTTTATGTTATTAGAAAATCATTTACTATAGGAGTAAAGAAAGAATGAGACAATAGAAAATGTGAAGATTGGGATTAATGAGATCATGGTGTGCAGTTGCAGCATTATAATACGTTTTATGTACATTTATTCATTATATTCATTCTATCTCATCTCCCTCTCTATGTACATACAATTAAACCCTCACTTGTCATTGTTACGATCACAGATTTCTATAAATCTTCTTTCTAGAAGTCTGTAATTACGGCGGTATAAGGATTTTAAATAATTAAAGAATTTTGAGGCAATAATATGCTAAATCGCAACGTAAAGACGTATTAGAGCTTAAGCTCTATAATTATTTACTCTATCGTATATTGTAAATCAATTATATGTATTTTTCTTTTTTAAAAAACAGTATCCGAAGGAATAGATCTGATAAATCTTTTTCTGTTATTGTCTTCGTAAAATTCATTTTGTATGATTTAACATGTTATCGCCCTGGCTCGTTAACTTAACAAAGTTAAGAAATACGCATTGCATTGTGTCATACTTCTCTTAAATATTTTTAATTATATTACGTATCGATATTGATTATCTGTCATATCATTATGATTATAATGTTTATTTTTTATTAGTAATGATAGCAACTAGTATTACTGCAATTCGATAGAAGTTACTCTGTATCCGTCGCTCAAATGTAAATAAAGTAACATACGTTTAATATGGGGAAGTTGTTTAATGTGCAAGTATATCACAATTAAAGAACGTTCGATACATACATTTTTAATAAATACTTTTGCAATTACGCATCACATATACAATTAAATCGTGGGTTGATAAAGTAATATCTGTTTAATGTGAGAAGTTGTTTAATATGCAAATGTACATTATAATTACAAGGCATTCGATGCGTATTTTGAATAAATATTACAGCAACTGCGAGAAAGGCATCATCTATATATCAAGATACTTTATAACTGTAATACAATTGGCGCCGTAATGTTAACTAATAGTAGGAAGATATAACTTATTACGTTTATTACAATACTATATGAGATATATAGAAATAACCGATTATACATATGTACAGACTTACACTGGGTGTGTAACTATATCATAACATATAAACGGACTGAATTATATATATGCGATTTAAATAAGAAAAAAAGATAATTATTGCTCATAAATATTATTTGATTTTCTTACGAACTTTCGGTACATAGTATAAGTAAATAAATTATGAGTCAAGTTATATCGCGATGTATGGCATTTTACTTATGCAGCCAATTAAACAAATTTTATAACAAACCATTTCGATAAATTGTATTGTTTATATATAGTAGATATGAGTAGATAATTATATATATATGTATATATATAGAAAATTATTTATTTTAATATCTTTACAACCATTTTTAGTATGCAGCATTTTATTACCCACCGCTGCGTTTTGTTATTGGAAATTGCTTGCTTATCTTGTTCATTCTAATTAAAAGACAATAATTTACCTCTCTCTGCAGAAGTTCTATATTTTTAAATAATAATAAAATTAAAAGGGAAAAACATTGCGCGATAAACGGTGTGCAGTTCTATAACAAAAACCTTATACCTAATAATTCAATAAGTTAACAACATTAATAATTCAAATTTTGAAAATTAACCCGCAAATCCGGTTTGTTAACTTTTATGACTTCAATTATCAATATCATTAACTTATTATGTTATTAAAGAATTTTTTCATTATAGAACTGCATACTGTTTATAACGTGCTGATTCTAATGTTTCTTTTAATTTAATTGTTATTTTGAATTATTGGAAATTTTTATTGTATTTGCATTATGTCTATATTTTATTTATGTATTTTTTACCTGCATGCACATAATAGGTCTATGCATTCACAGCTCCGTAAATCCACAATTTTATATTTGCGGATTACAATAAGCATAGACAAAATTTTTCGCTTGATTTTTCAGAACAGCATCGAATTATAATTATCGTACAGTTTTAATATAATATACTAACATGTTAAATAATTGAATTAAGATTGTAGATTAATTTTGAACCGAGCTCATCACTCAAATATGTACATTAATGTAATGTAGTATTACAAGGAATGATAATTATTACGTGCTAACGAGGCTACTAGTTAAAATATTATAAAGTAATGTCGTACATTATTTTGACACATATGTCGAGTTTTTATTCTATACATACCTATAAAAAAAGAACATTTTACAGCTCAATTGCTGTAAAACTATTGAGAATTGGAAATTAAAAATTTATTAAATAAAATCTCTAATATCTACTTACGTCAAAAACATCTAAGTAATTGCATTATTTTGAATGGAGAATCTATATTAAAAAATATTAAGTTTTGTCTATACTTCATCAATTACGAAACATACCGAACTATCAGAATGGAGACGACATCAAGATACTTTCTCTTTTCGAATAAACATGACATTTAAAAGTCATATGAAGAATATCTTTAAAAATATTGATGAAATATATATGAATATTTTAAAAAATTTTTCAATATTTATGTTATTTAAATTTTTCAGTTGCTTAAAAAAAATTGTTCAAGATAAAGTTAGTTTTGTCCCATTCTTAATCTTTCTCTCTCAATCGCTCTGTAACATTATTCACATATATTGAAAAATACTATTACGTTGCAATCCCTTCTTACATTAAAAAAAAATCGTAATTACGCTCCCTTTCCCTCTAAAAACAATTTAATTTAATAATGTACAATTTGCGTATGATATATTGATACGCGGATGCAAGGCGAGATGTTGAAGAAGTAAGAGCTCTCTTCTGAAATTGCAAAAGTATTGATCGAAACATACAATTTTTCATTTAAAACTTTGCATACAGATGATGCGCACAGTTCAGTGTCTATTACAATTATTTAACTTCTCACAAGTTAGACTTAAAAAATTTAAATTATCACGAAGTTAACTTGCTAAATACCATATTTCGCAGAGTCATTTGCATGCAAAGTGTTAAGACGTTAACAATCCACTGAGCACATTCACCGTTTAACCGAAAGGACAGTAGAAAAATAAGAAGAAAACCGTAGAGACAAGACACATTGATAGAGCACACAAGTAACGATATGAAAAGCGTCGCGCTAGTATATTATCTTAATTATAAAGATCGTTACAAACATCTCCACAAGTACACCCGGAGGAAAGTCGATAGGCTTACTTTGGAAATGTTTGCAAAGTTTTAGGATTGTTTCGACGTTCGAAATCGTCGTTGAGAATTATCACGGAACATTTTATTACAAGATTATCTCAAGAAATATCGAGAAAGAAAAATTTATTCAACGATATCTTCGGTTTCCTGTCGGATCGAATCTTTTGAATTAAAAATGAGTTTGTATCTAAATGTAAACTCTATAGAAAATGGAATGAATTAGTATATTTAATCAACTTTCTTTTTCGAATTTCAATGAGAATTGTATCGGTATTAAATTTAGTGATAATTAACAACAATGAACGAAATATTCATTTCTTAGATTAGGAATCGACAAGAAATGTTCGGTCAAGACACCGAGTACACCTTTGTACATTGTACCAGTCAATTTAAAATTATTTAAGTACTATCTATATTGAGAATTTTTTATTCAATATTTAATATTTTTTTATTTGTTTACTCCGAAAATGGTTTTTTTAGGAAAAAATTTTTTTAAATATGATTTTGAGACTTATTCATCTAATTATTAATAGTCCTCATAATAATTGAGCAAGTTTCCTGTTGTCTTGATTGAACTTTCCTAGCGTTTTGTCGATTTCCATGTTGCCATTATATGCACTTTCAACAGCAAGCACGATATTAATTAATAACTATCTCAATCCTGATATTTGTTCTCAGGTTGATTGAAAATTGATGTATATTATCCTTTTCCACTTTAATGTTATCCGGCTGCGCTTCTGGTACTATTTCTTAGTAAAGATTGTAACTGTTGAGCTGCACCCTAAAAGCCAAAATAAAAATGTTAATGACTAATACAATGAGACGATCTTTTCAAATAATTAATTCAATATGTATAGCATAAAAATGTTTAACGATAGTAACTTGAGAATATAGAAGATAAAATGGTTAAAAAAATTTTTAATTTGTTTTCATACTTTATTTTTAATTATAATTTATTATCTAGATAATTGCTTTTAAGTAATATTTTTTTTGTAAAATAACTTTTGAATCTTTGACGCAAACTCTCTGCAAAACTTTATTTGTGTATTTATTTTCGTTATACAGAACGAAATAAAATAAATTTTCAGTAAATTTTCTTATTAGTTAAGAAAGTGAAATTTCATGAAAAAAATGTTTACCGAAATGGCAGCGCCAAGGAATCTGCCTATGGCTCTAGTAGCGGTAACCAGCCCACTACCCGATCCAGTTCCTCCGAAAAGAGGAGGCGGATATGTTGAACTTGGAGCCCATGTCGTAGTCTGTAGTATATTCTCTGTTGGTCTTGGTCTCGCAGAAGGTCTCGATGTCACTACTTGCTTCGCTATGGTGATCGGTCTAGTGGTTGTTGGTCGAGTCGTAGTCGAAGTTGCATCTGGCGTAAGCAGATCTTGACTCTGATCGAGAAGATATACATTACATATATGTCTATCGATATTTTTCAATAAATTATATAAAGAATTTCACAGAATCGTGAAAGAAATATTACTCACTGATAATTGTAATTGTTCTCTAAGTTTTGTTGCTGGCGTTGTGGGTTCTATTCCTTGTTGTTTTAAAAGTAGAGCCAGCAAAGCAGCAGGATTCACTTCGTTAGATGACGATGTTGTGGTAGAAATGCTAGCCTGATTATTTAAAATCGCTCTCAAAAAGGCTTCATCATCCTCATTTAATCGTGTTGTCGCCGAAGTACTCGTTCTCGTTTCTGTTATAAGATAATATAAGATATTATTTATTATGGATTAGTAAAAACTAATAATCGGAATCTAAAGTCAAAATCAGCGATTTAGGAAAATATGAAAATTGTTCTTGGATTTAAAAATGGTCTTTCCATTCTTGACTTTATTGAATTTACAATTTAAAAAATTGCGATTAATCTATTTAAAAAATCTAACAATAAGAAAAATTAATAACTATATAAAAATTGATTATTATTCTTCATTTGAAATCTTGTTTTATATATTTTTACAATCAGTAAAAATAATTATAAATTAATTTAATAATTTCAAAAATATAAGAAGATACATTTGTAGATAATTAACGCTTGATTAGTGAGATATTTTGTATTTTAATTTTCAATTAAATAAATGTAATTGTATATTTTATTAAAATATCTCATTAAAAACGAATAAAAGAGGGAAACGATTTACCCGTTTGTACTGCTTGCAGGAGCGCAGCCAAGAATTTCGCGTCGTCCTCGGATGAATACTTGGACGTGGAGACGTCTCTCAATCTAGGATTATTTAAGAGCGTAGTTGAAATCGTACTTGGCGTTGATGCGGAAATGATATTGTCTGCGAGCGATGTGCTCGAAGCTACATGAATGTCCGAAATATCTATATTTCTTGGCGTCGTTGGTGATTTGATCGAGGTCATTACGTGATTCGTAAGCGTCGACTTGATGATCTGCGCTGGTGCTTGGGTGGAGCTAGCAGGTTTTTGAGTCGCCTTAGTCGTGGGTTTCCTTTTTACAGCGCTTGCTGCAGTGGTTGCGTCGAAAAAGTTATTGCCAAACAACGCTCGCCATAAACCCGAACCAAATCCTACAGACGCTCGAGGGGTAGTAGTTTTGGGTCTGGCTGTCGTCTTAGGCTTGGCAGTGATAACGACTGGTGCTTTAGTCGGTGCGGGTGTTTCAGTATACTTCTTCGTAGATGATGTGCTGCTGGATACGCTTGACGGTAATAAGTCGATTATTATTGGTTCGGAAGACAATCCGAATGACGTGCTCTTTGATGGATTCTTAATTACATTCACATTCGCATTCGAATTCGCGGTTTGAATCGCTTTTGGCGATCTCGTTGGCCCAGGATTAGCCAGTGCAAGCGACAAAATCTACAAAAAATATATAAGTATTAGATTAATTTATTATAAAAATATGTATTAATAAAATAAGAAAAAGAATTCTATTTTCGGTCAAAACGGATTTTGGTTAATAATAAATGGCGGATTTTGGTTAATAATAAATGTTAATAATAAATGGCTTAATAATAAATGTAAATTTTTTAATATATATATTTTTCAGTAAAGTGCGCTCCGATTTGAACTTGAAACATAATATTAGTCGAAATGTAATATTTTGCTTATTTTATGTATTATAATATATTTATGTTAATAATTTATGTTCATTTTACTCACCCTGTTTGCTAATAATTGCTCTACTTCACTTAACGTTTTCGGCGTAGTGGACTTAACATCGTTGTTGTTTTGTAACTATAAAAAGTAAAGAATTTATATTAATTTATATAGTTCATTACATTACAGAAGTATTTTATAATATATCTCGATATTTAAAGGCAGAAATAACTCAGGTAACGAGCTAACAGCATTTATTGCTATTTTAACATCAAAATGACGACAAAATGTCTGTTTGCTATTTGAAAAAATTAAAAGATCTCTAATAATATAAATTGAAAATAAACGAAATTTACCAATGAATTCAGGAAAGCCAAATCCCCGTACGTGCTACCAAAGGGATTCTCCACTGTATTCGCTTGTAATCTGCTTAATATATTATTCGTAGATATTGTCGATGCGGTAGTTGACGGTGGAACTGATCCTATACGTGCTGTTGTATACAGTATAGTGTAAGTACATGAAAGAAGTTTACGAAAGAAGCGACTTTTGCTAGTCAGCCCTGGTGAAAAAATTTCGCTGAGATTATTTCACGTTTTGAAAACATTTAAACGAAATTGCTAAAAATTTCCTGAAATTTATTTGAAATTCTGCTAAAAATGAATTTTTCAACTAAAAATCGCTGAAATTAAACTAAAATTTTTCTGAAAAGTGTTTCAAAATGTGGAATAATTTTAGTGAAATTTTTTTCAGCAGGGGAAGAATAATAAATGTACCTGGCGTTGTCGTTTGACTTGTGGTCGTTGCAGGAGTCGTTGAAGTAGTAGTTGTGGTAGTTGTAGTGGTGGTGGTGGTGATAGCGGCAGTAGTCGTCGTTGGAGTTGTTGTTGGTGCCGGCGTTGTAGTAGTACTAGTAGTAGTAGGAGTGGTGGTACTGACAGTAGTAGTAGTAGGTGTAGTAGTACTAGTAGTAGTAGGAGTGGTAGTGCTGGTAGTAGTAGTAGGAGTGGTGGTACTGGCAGTAGTAGTAGTAGGTGTAGTAGTACTAGCAGTAGTTGTAGTGATTGGGGATGGAGATGTTACTGCAGTGCTTACTATTGGTGTGAAAACTTCCACCATGGAATTTACACGTGACACAATCGGTGCATTGTTTCCGATTGGCTCGTCCTAAAGAGAATATATTTATAAATAAAAAATATAACGAAAAAAACAGAAAGTGTAACAAATATTTAAATGTCATTTATTATCTAGTGTTTTTTAAAATAAATGTAACAATTTTGGGAAATCTATTATTTAATAAAAACTTTTAATATATATTTAATCATATTTTAACAATATTTAAATAATATTGTTTAATTTTTTAAAATATTTTCATGTAATACGCACTAGTTGATTTGATGCCACAGATGCTGTTTGCATAGGTGAGTTGGTAGTGATACCAAATATCTGATCAAGAGGGTCTCTCCAAGGGAAACCAGGAGGTGCTGTTATTATATTACCACCAGATTGATTGTTCAGTAAATTTTCAAAAGACGGATTCGATGATGTAGATGATGCCGTGCCTTCGTTCACAGAAGTCTGACAACAAATTTTTTAATAACTTTGTCATTCTATTTCTATTTTGTATTTCTATATTTCGACTATCCACAGTAGCTATTGTTTATACATTCTTAGTAATATTTATTAGTTTAGTAAATCATAAAAAAATACGATACTCGTATCATGTCATTTTATATAGTAGACTATATTAAATGTATGAAATAAGATACTCTTATTTCAGTAAGCAATAAAGAAAAGCGTGAGTAATTTTTAATTTCCAAATTGTTAACAAACAGAAGCAAGAAAATTTATTAATAGAAAGAAATCCAACATTAAGAAATATCAAATTATCATTCGATTACTTACAGCCACTGAATTTATTCTTACATCAACGACTTTTGGATTGATATCAGGTGCACCATCAATCTGATAATTAATAAATTTATCCTGAAATATTTATGATTGCGCTTTCAAGTGTTTTCTCCTTTAGTAAATAATTACATAATGTGATTTTATGTACTACCTGTCCGATATATACAGCGCTATTTTGACCAGATGTCACTCTTGTCCGAGAAGCTTCGTTTCTTTCGCGATCCTGGATGATCCTTGGAGGACCTTGTACTTGACTGCTACTCTGATTACCGAATGAGTTCGGCAACGTACCCATTTGAGAATTTAATAAAATATCGTTCTGAAATATTTACATGCCGCATTTAATAATGTTGCTACAAAAATCTTAATATATAGTGAATAGAAATAAAGCTCATAAACTTGCAATATTTTTCAAATATTACGAAGGGACAAGATTGGTGCATTTGCTATGAAATAAAAATATAAAAATTTTATGCCCTTTAATACTTTTTAGTAGATATTTTCGTAATAATTTCAATTCTTTTAGTTTTTAAAATCATAAAATTTTATTTTATTTAAATACCTAATTATATAAATTTATAATGATATAATAAAGATTTAAAATGTATTTTGTGATTTTTAAGAACAAAGTATTGTTTTTAATAAATTTATCTAAGATTAAAGACTGTAATAAGTTCCGTAAAATGGTTAAAATGTATATTCATCTATACAGTTTATTTTAACGTGAAATATAAAAATATTTGAACACAGCTCTAGTAAAAGAAATTCAGGAGAATAATAAAAATAATTTTTTTTTAACCGTGGTATAACATATGTCGTGCTCATTAGATGACAAAATCTGTAAAATAATAAATTTTTATAAAATATTTTTTATGTATTATGAAATATATTAAATATTTAATACAAGTAAAACGTCAGATTGTGTAAGTATACATCTAACAAAAGATACAGTGCGTAAAAAAATTTTCAAAGTGCAAATGGGCGAACAAGAGTGCTATAAATTATCATAATTATTTACAAATTTACAACGATACTCTGTGTACAGCCGTTGTACAGCATTCGATATTTTTGACCTGGAAAAAAGTATTAAATTGCATTTCATTAAAATTACGAAAATGTAAAGCATGTATATTATGAGAAGAAAGTCTGTCAAAAAGAAGCTACGAAAATAAGTTATAAAGTTATACCAAGAAACTGAATTGTTAATCTATCAATATTACATAATAATTATCCAGCGAGAGACAGAAAGAGAGTGTGTTATGAAACTTTACTTTACGTTCAATAGGAATAAAAAGAATTAGAAATGCTGATCGTTACATGAATATCCGCATTTCGCTAAGCATGAGATTATCTGCTTTTTATTAATATTAATATAATTTTTCTTATTAATATTAACATAATTTAATATTTACATATAATTTTTACAAATTTCAGGCTGTAACCGCGAACTGGATGAATATTTATATTTTATAAAATATGTGTACTAAAATAACGACAGCTTTTAAAAATTGAAGATAAATTTGCAATTTTTTGAGAAATATAAAAATTGTAAATAAAATTTAGATAGTTATTCTAATAAAATTCTGATTTCTATTAATGTTAAACCACTTCAAGTTACTTTCGCGTGGCAACGATTTCTAAAGAGCCAGGAAACGCGACTTGTTTCTCAATCGCGATTTGATTCTTGATCAAATTCATTGCACGTATAAAATATGATTTTGATGAAGAGATGAGATAAAGATACCATTTTGTTTGTGCTTGGGACGCTAGCAGGGGGACCAAATGGTCCCGTGAAATTAGGGCCTCCAGGGGTAACGCCGATCGCATTACCAATAAGTCCAAAATCAAAGGATCCGGGGCTCTGTGCGCCTCTCGTCAGGTCATCCATAGGTCTACCGTTACTATAGTACACCGGGACTTGATACTGGTTGTTATAAACGCCTGCTTGGTTAGCCTGGTTATAATATGGCCTGGGTGCTGGTCGGTTAGTAGTAGTGGTAGTTCTAAGTGTGAACACAACCTCGACCGGGTTCCTGGGCGAATCCGGTATTATCGTTCCGTTGGGAAACTTCCGAACCAGTCTGCCGTCCGGAAAGATGCCGAATATCACGTACGGGCTGTCTACATTCCTGCCGTCGATCACATTGTCTTCCGGCCGCTTTCGCACAATGGTCTTGTTAGGATAAATACCATAAATCAAGTAGTCACGAACAGGAGTCTTAGAGGAGCTGGGTCTCGGAAGTGGAGTCATTTGGCTGCCACCGAAACGTCCCAGATAGGGCCCTGGTTGGAAAGGTGTAGATGCCGGAAATGGTGATACTCGATTTAGCACAGTAGTCCGTGCGGTCGTCGACGTGGTTGTTGTGGTTGACGTATTATTTGTGCCATTTGTGGGTGGTGCAACACTTGTCGTTGTTGTTGTTGTCGTCGTTTCTTCTCCACCATTTATCCTCGATATCATGTTCAGATCCTCCGATTCAGTCGGAACGACTGTCGTGCCTCGCGTAGTCGAGGTATCAGTCGTTGTCTCAGTGGAAACAAGATTATCGTTTATGTCGGCAGTCGTAGTCGTCATTTCGGACGTCGATTCGACAGTGGTAGTGAGCTCGGATCGCGACAACGCTTCCGTCGATGTCGTCATCGTCGTCGTCGTGGTCTCCGTTGTCGTGGTTGCTATTGATTCAATTGATGAGGATGGGTTGGTTGATGCATTGATAGAGGATACGGGGGATGTGGTGGAATCGGTTGTTGATGCGGTTGAAGATGTTGTGATATTAGGAACGATGGTGGTGGTAGTGATGATGATTTCGGTCGTTTGCTCAGGTTGGATGATTCTCGAACCAGCCGTCCCTTGGGCGGTTGTTGTTGACGTTGTATCCTGTAAACGGGCAATAAAATTTGGCATCTCGCTTACGAGATCGGTTAGCATTTGAGGGGCGTTTGTTGTTATGTCGTTGAGTTGATTAGTGGTAGTGTCGGTGAAGCCTACTAAGTTACGAACTGATTCCGTGATGGAAGGTTCTGTATCAAATGGCTGAGTATTGCTCGTATCGGATACCATTGGAAGTGTCGTAGTGATATCCGATGCATTTGCTATGAGGGATTGGTCGTTTGTAACCTGTAGGTCAGATGCAGGCATTATCGTGGTGGGTATCGGTGTCTGATTAGTGGTATCTACGGCATTCGTTTGTACAACGTTTATTTCCGTCATAGCTACACTAGTGGTTAATTCTGTTACCATGTCCGACGTCGTGGAATTGTTTACGTCAAACGTGGACAGCATTCCCTCTGTATTCGCGGTAACAGAGCTCGCTAAAGGATTATTGGTAGCGAATTCTAATAACCGATTCAACAACTGAGTCTCGTTATTTGAAACTGTCGTAATAGTTTGTTGTTCAGTATTGTTACTGGATGATTCAATCGGATTAGATAATTGTGAGTCAGGCGTATTAGTAGTTAGTTCAGAACTCATGCTGGCCGTAACCGTAGTGATGTTTGATATTCCGGTCTTCATCTGCGAAAGGGACATTGTGGTAACATCACCTACATCGATGGGTCGCGCGTTAGATTCCACTAACAAAATATTCGATCCTACAACAGGGCCCCGGGTAGAATTATCTCCTCTTTCATTTCCGGATAAATCAATGAGTGTTGTAACGTCTATACGTTCGGTAGTGTTTTCTAAAGGTTTTGAAAGTTCGGAAGGTGCAGTGGTAGCTTCTGACGTGACATTCAACATGAACACGGTTCGATTTCTATCGTTTCCTACCGTGTCGTCAGTTTGACCCAACTGTCGCGTGTCGTTTATCGCTTCCGTAAAGAGAGTCTTCGCGATAGTCATTAGCTCAGCGAGTAACGTATCATTAGACGATCGGGAACCGTTCTCCGTAACGGACTCAACGAGTCGCGAGGTCGGTGTCATTGTGGTGGTCGCAACTTCTCCATCTGTCGTTGGAGCTCGCGCATCCTGAGCTGTCGTTGTCGATTCGGGATCTGATGCCGTGTTGCGCTCGTCGCCTACGGTTCTCGAAAATGTTTGTTCCGTTGCTGTATTCGAGTCCAGTGTATTCTGTGCGTTTATCCCTTGGTCGTTAGATTGACCCTGAAGCATAGTATTCACACCTACTGTGTTTCGATTGGTCTCTTCTGATCCGTCCGTCGTGATCGACACGAACTCTACATCGAACGATTCCGTCGTTTCGTCGGTACCCGGTCCAGCTATCCGTATGGTAGTTGTCTCTTCAGGTTGCGCCGGGCTCTCTGTATTTGTTGACGACGAATCCGGTATCGCGTTAGACAGCTCGGGAGAGACGGTCGTCGTAGCGATAGGTTTTTGGATCGGTGTGTTAATCGTCGTAGCCCCCTTTTGCGATAAAAATGATAGAATATCTTGCGCGTAATCGACTAATCGTGTGCGATATGTAGTTGAGAAAGCGGGTATCGCTGTCGTACGAATTTCGATTACGTCATTCGAAATCTCTTCGGTCGTGGTTGACTCAGTAGTGCTCGTAATTTCCGTTGTTTGAGACGGATTCGTGTCAGACTGCTGTATGGTATTTGTTTCTATATCCTCGATTATGATCGAGGTCGTTTCTGTTAGGCGAGGCGTCGTTTCCTCAGATTGTTGCACGGTATTCGTCTCAATACTCTCCGACGTGTCGTTCATCGCGAGTATAGTCGTCGCTTCCGGTAAGTGAATCACGGTAACGCTCTTGGTGATTGAAGATGGTATTGTTGTATCCAATGTATCATTCACTGTTTGCAGATTTTGAGAAGCTGGCATGGATACTATTGCGTTCACAGTTTCAGTGATGGGTAGCATTGCTACTTCCGTGGTTTTGGTGCTCAGTTCAGTGAATTGAACGTTAGGAACGGATTCTGTGGAGGATTCTGCTGCCAAAGTTATATCGGCGATGCTTGTCGACGTGGCAGTTTCAGTAGTGGTGGATGGTGGTGTGTTCGTTATCGTGTTAACAGGGACGGTGGTTTCCGACCCGGGCGTTTCCGAGGTGGGGACTGGAGTCGTTTCTCCTCCGTTTATATCCGGATTTGCGGGGGTTTGTACTGTCGTGGTGGTTTCCGGACTACCATCGGTACTACTCTCGGCACCTAATATTGAAGCGAGCGAATTGTTTGCCGACTGTACGGCAGTGGCAGTGTCTACGGTAGTGATATCTGGGGAGGATGTAGTAATAGTAGTCGCGGTGATTGATGGAGCAATGGTGTCATTGTTGTTAGCAATATCGTTACTGGCGCCGTTAGGTACAGTAGCGTTAGGGTCTACCTTCGTTACCACGCCAGTTAGTCTTTGCCGCTGAGACACGTCTTCCGCGCCCAAATTTTCATTTCTTATGCTAGCCGACTCTAACGCCTGATAAAAAGTGATGAATCTCGGCTCGCCGGGGCTGTTGATGGTAACGGGTGGCGCCGAACCGGAATTCTGCAATCAGAAATTCGGTGCGTGCGAGTGCTGTACACACTTTGGTGCAATTACGGTGACAAAGTAGTCGGATACAAACGGAAGTCGGTTAACAGAAGGCTTTTTGTAACACGCGTAATCTACATGTCGAGGGCGGCGTTTCAACCCTTAAGCGCGTCTAGCTTTGGCGTGAGCTTAGTTCAAGCTTACAAAAATGCTAATCACAGCATGAATAACAATAGTAGTTTGCGCGTTTAAGAGTTAATACGTTTTAGTTGTTCTATTTACAGATATGCATTTACAGATGTGCACTCAAATGAATACAACGCAATTATTGTAATATATACAATATCTCATATTAGCGATTAGCGTGTTATTTGATGAAAATATTTTTATGGCCTAATATATAGCTAAACATTTTTATGACAAATACATACAATTATACAAATGGACGTTATATGTGGCATCAATCGCAAATCGATCGCAAACTTTTGACAGCCAATCTAAAGCGTCAATTTAAAAATTGATGCTTATTAGATTAATTATCGCAACAAGCTTGCGATCGATTTACAATTAGGATCAGTTTGAGAAAACACATGAGCATACACCATCTTTAGGTACACGTACGAACTAGTGCAAGAGGAAGGAGAATTGTCGCCGAATGTAAAGTCTTGTGATGTAACAACTATGACTTGGAACTTGTTCTTAAGATTAAAAATATTAGCAACGGGGAGACTAGTTTCCTCTCTCGTCTGCGACACTTTTTTCTCTTCTTTAGGATATTACGGGCTCTTACCTTGTGTCTACAGAGACCTCCACTGACGAACTTTCGCTATTACATTATTACGGAAGTATTGCATTAACAATTTCTCGCACGATTGCCTGATGGAAGCCTCAAAAACAAACGTTCGTGGCACGTGCGAAGTGCTAGAGTTGTCCACGTTGTGAAAATTATCACGTGAAATTAATCCAATTCTGAGTAATTGCTTTGATATTTTAAAATACTTTATAAGAAAAGAATTTATGTAAAAATATATATTAAAATAGAATAATTTCGAAATAAATTAATAGAAAAGTGAAATATATTCATAGCAAAAGATGATTAATGGCGACATATTCTTCTTCCATTTATATTTTGTATCGTTCTTATTTTATTATGTGCTACAATGAAAGATAGAAAATATAGAATGCTCACTATACATATATCTCTATATGCACGAATATATACTTTCACTTCTTGCTGTCCAAGAGCAATATTTTTCTTAATGAGATGGAGCATGCAAAATGTCTTTATAGAATCAAGATAGATTGTATGTGCATTCGATGATTCTTGAATTTAGGATACAATAGCGAGATAAAATATTAAATTACGGATAGAGATGCAATATGACAGATGGATGATAAATGTTGAAACGAACAGTGAAACAAATATCTGGATTTATTATAAGCACGTTGACAATTCTTTGATTATATAGTAAAGTACAAAAATCTATTTATGTTACATTATAAAAAAGCGACGTAATCGAAAACAACTAAAGAACCACAAAAGGTGTACTTTCAATGTTATCAAAAAATCGAAAGACTGTGATATTGTTTTCGATATTTTATTAAAAATAATAAAAAATATTTTGCACTTCTATAATTATATATATATATATATCTAAATAATCCAATTATTATATAAGTTTTCTGATTATAAATAGTTCTTGCGGTTCTTGCAGTTATTATTGGAGTCCGTAAATTGTTTACCTTTTTGCATTGTATATATATTTAAACAAATTTATTTTTAGTCGATGTAAACTAAGGAGTGTTATAGAAAAATATCACGTGTGTGTTTGCTCAAAACGACTCAACACTACTTTTCTAATTCACTCACAATTCTGTTACGTTTGTAAATACATTAACATAAGTACGATAAGAATTAAACTAAAAATTAATATATTTATTATATATATATATTTTCTTTTTTCTTTAAAAAAAATTTATACTTTTTTCATAACAAATATATATATTTGCAGATTTTAACTCTACATGATTAAGTAAGGACAAACAATTGCTAATCGCGTGCAATGCTAAAAAATCAATACATTTATTATTAAAAAATATAAAATTGTATGGTACAATATTTGCACATATGTATATAGTGTATGATTCGTGAGTGCTATGAGATAACGTGACATGAATCGATGACCGTGTATTAATCTTCCTCGAAGTTAATAAGTCATCCTTCTAATCTTTCGAGACGAATCCTTCTCCTAAGTGTTAGAACGTGATATTTAATGATCTTTATAAATCGACCTTAATCCCAGTAGATCGTTTATGCAATGATTATGTTTGTGCTAATGTGCTCTTTCGAAGCGAAAGAAATGTGCCCTTTTTAGTGCGTTGATATTCACAAATGAACATAAACTAAATCAATCAAGGCTATTGTTAATACAATTTAAAAAATGCATCTGTAACTCGTACGACAGTTGTTATACTTCGGCTATTCGCTAAAAGAGATAAAAAAAAATAAAAAGAATGTGACGAATTGAAACGATTTCTTATTATGATCAAAGGATGGTCAAATTAACGCAGGTTGTTTGCATCGATATGAATAAGTACAAAATTGCTTGATGGGGTTGAGGTGATAGAGTTGGTCCACGATGGCGGTGCAACTGCTTCGGAATCCTCTGGTACCTTCGTAGGGAACACCTTTTAAGCACAGAAAATTACTTCACGTAATTTCTTCTGAAGGGAACCATTAATGCGTACGGCTTGCATACTGCCTTACCTGGATCTTTCTTCCGCGATTTTTTTTTTGTATTACGATTTATTATTATTAAAACTTATTTTTAGACTATATGTGAAAAGTACACTTCATATACAGTAGAGTAACGTAGCGTTTCTAACAGCACAGACATTCTGAGGACGTCCAAAGGACATCCGTATATCTTTTGAACATCCTAAGGACATCCCCAGGATGTAGCCCAGATAAAGTGTGTTATTAGAGATAGTATTATATACATATACGCATATACATAAAATATTAGAAATTTGTCTTGAAATAATAACAAAGATGTAATATTCAGTTATACATGTATAAAAAATATATAATATACTACTGTAAATTCGCAGTATCGTCGTTATTGTTTTTAAAAGTAAAAGGGTTTAAAAATAAAAAGTTTTTTTTTCTACAAGTACACATCACATATATAACGCGAGATATCCACAAAAAAACATGTGTAACACGAAATATTTGTGATAAACATATATATATATTTACCATAATAAGAAATATTGTATCATGAAATAAGAATGTTGTCGACGCGAATCGGTGCTATTAAAACGTAAAATTAAAGCTAACAAGTTTATGAATTATCGCTTTCTATTCGACTGAGTACACAATATGTAATTGAAAGGTGATTATATAATGTGCATTAGTTAAACAAAAAAAGGTTCGTCTCTCCTCAATGACGTTCCCTTATAAAATTTTTTCCAAAATCCTCAAAAATCTTACCTCTATTAATGTTGAAGCTGTAGTCGATGACGTTGTGATCGATGGTACCACAGCTTGACCAACGGACGGTTTTCTTACAAGCAATTCTGCTCCTTTGTATCTCGCGCTGAATCTCGGCGGGGAACCGTTTGGTGTTATCCTGGGGACTGAATTCTATATGTAGAAAAAAATGATATATTGTAGTACATTTTTCCCTAAAGTATAAAAGTTACAACATATTTTCAAAATAAAAAGAAATATTTCACTAAAAGTGAACACTTTTCTGCTTAAATATAAATAAAAATATAAGATATATTAAAATTATTTTTCCAATTATAGATATAAAATTAAGATCCACGTATTAATTTAATTTTATATCAGACAGAAAATAAATGGTTTTCCGGAAATCATTTAATCACTCACCCCTGTATTCACATTAGAATAGGCTCCGGAGAAGATGGGGGTCTTGTCACTTAAATTGTTTAAGAGCGGTGCCACGGTGCTTCGTAGTTGCTCCAGCAGCGTGGTGGTATTCGCAGTGAGATACGTGCTCCTAGTGGGGTTGAAGATGTTGGAGTTGCCGCTATTGCCATTGCTGCTTCCGGCGATACCGGACGCTCGCGAGATGGTATCATTCGAGGTATCGATCCTCACGCTGACTAACGGATCGAGTGAAGATCGTGAAAAGGGTAAAGATCGAGTGCTCGGTTCAACTTGAGCGTGATACTTGGTCGGCTTTGGGGTGATAGCTACGCCGGCGGTCGTCTGCTCGACCGTCGTCGGCGGCTGAATCACCAGCTGGCTGGTTGGCACTTCGGAATGCCTCCTGTAAGTCGATGTTCGCGGACGGAATTCTCGTCGCTTCGTCTGCGTAAGCGTTGCTTCCGTATTGGATGTCTTGGGAATGGAGTCGTATGGCGTGAAAACACCGGATTTCTTCCGGATGTACCTACTAGTGGGTCCGACGGTTCTCGATGTCACCATAGAAACCGTTACCTTGTCCGGTTGTTCCTGACTTGACTGATAACGGGATCGAACGCTGCCCTTACTCGAATCGTTTAGGATTGTCGTCTTTTCTTTATCACTTGACAAGTCGTTCGCATTCGGAATATAAACGGGATATACTTTTTCTAATGTTGATAATGTAGACGACGAAAGAATATCATTTGTGATAACGGTCGGTGGTAGTGTAACTTCTTGAGGGAATTCCGTGAGGACTTTAGATTCTGTTGATGCATCAGTGACAGCACCTGATGTTGCAGTAATAGTTTCAATGAATGTTTTATCTGGCTTCAGCGGTTCGACAGTTGTAATGATGGTGTTTTCCTCTATAGCTTCCACCGTATTCGTCAACGTTGACACTTCGTCCCGAGATGCCATGGTGCTCGTCGGGGATTGGACTTTTGTCGTATCAACAGCCGTGGCAGCCGTTCCTTCTACGGGAACGGCACCGCGATGTGAAACTGTAATTAACCGTGGTATAGCGTTAAGTTCTGTAACGTTCTTCGACGATGTTTTTTCGACGAACGAAGATGCTCTTTCAGAAGTCACTCGGATCTTTTTAGTCGTACCGGCGGGTGATCTAAGTGAAGATTTGACATTTCGATCTTTTGATTTTCTAGTCTCTAAGATCTTCCATCTGCCTCTTACGGTTGATTTTTCTTTCGGCGCACTCGCAATTGTCGAACTTCCATGTGTAGCATGAGTACCAATGAGCTTGCTGGTCGCTTTTGTTGTTTTCTCTATGTTTCTGCTTTCGCTGACCGTCGAAACTTCTTTCGCTTTTGATTTATTGGAATAAGCGGTTGTCGTTACATCGAAATCGTTCTCGTCAACATTCAGTTCGGGTTTGATTAATCTTCTGGCTAACTCCAGTTTCAGCTTGGATCTTTCGGAGAACAGACTCGTCAAGCTTGGTTTTGTGGCCTGAAAAGGTCGTTTAAAGAGCTCCATTTTAAGGACGCGACGAAATCGCCAAGCGTTCGTAAGCAACCTGCCGAAAGCTCAGAAGTAAATTCTGTTAGTACGGCGACCTCGTACAAGGCGTTCGTCTTCCTCGACTCGAAGCAACGTTCTCAAGACTGTTTGCAAAATTCACTCGTGGAAACGTATTATTCTCTTTTTATATGATTACAAAAAAGCTAATATATATATCATCTAAGGAGAGCTACATCCATCCTTTATTTTTTAAAGGAGGAATAGAAGTCTGATGAACTGAAGAAGGAAGACGATCCATGCAACCAGTTGGCTAAAGAACCCGAACCAAGATTTCGTTGGTGTGGACTGAAATTTTAATCGTTCTCGTCAAAACTACAACCTAAATAAGAATACTTTACACCTTGCAAAGCAAGATAACATAATATGTGTAATGTAATGAGTAAGCGAAACCGTCTACGAAAGAATACAATGAAAGAAAACATTTGCGGAAATACAAATATACGTTAAGTGCATAAAGTTTATTGAATACTATTGCTTTTATTGAATACTATCAACATATCATTATTTATAAAGCACTTCTGCATAATATAATAAAAAATTATATAATTATATAATTTTTTGGAAAAATAAAATCTACCTTTCTACATTATATTTCTGTTTGCAAGTCTACTCTATATATACAGTATTTACAAATATTTATATTTAAATCAGATTTTTTTAGTATGTAATTCAAGAAAAAATTTAGTTCTATTTAATATATAAGCTTACAATGATTCGTATTACAATAAATAACTGATATTTCAAACTGTTATTTATAAGCGAGTGCAATTGTGCTCTTTCACTTATCTTTAATTGAATGTATCCTTCTAATAAGCAATTATACTGCAATTATGTATCATTTTTTAAACTATTTGCTTCCGTACTTCTAGCAAATAATAGATACACAGTTCATAGGGCACAATCATTAAATTGCCTTTCTATTTATTTTTTTTTCTATTACCAGTGTATCGGTCTCCTTCACTTTTTTTTTATTAGACAGCAAATCAAAATATTCTTATAAAAAATTGAGTTTAAGACAAAAGAGATTAAAAAAATGTCATATATCGATGACACATTTACAATTTTTATTTACGTTGCTAAAGCATTACGACGTTGCTTTAAATACTTTTTCATTTCGCAAAAGACAACTGAAGGTAACTAGTACTGTATTTAGCACCCTATTTAGTACTCCAATTAACAAACCTAGTAATAAACTTTCACGGCATATCGAGAAGCATCAAATTAAAATCAATTATCTGTTTGAATAATAACGTAGTCATTACTTGATTTGCTGCAATGAGCTACCTACAAATATACTTTCTCTCCTCGACAAACTGACAACGTAAGAAGAAAGAGACAGGTTGATTATATCAAAGTTAGTTTGCAAAATCTCGAAACCAATTCATTCATTACTCGTCAATAATAGACGTCTATTCATCTTTTATTCCCGGTCGTTTCATCAAAGGTACTTGAAAGTAAAACTAGGATCGCAATCGAAAAGATCAGCGAAAGATTATAATGAAAGATTTGAGGCTATTCTGCGACCTTTTTGCAATTAATATATCTTGAGAAAACTTCTTGTCGAGGATTCGCCACTCCTTGCGTCACGATAGCGTTCAAATCCAGTCTTATTTGGATGTTCATTGTCGCCACGTTCTTAAAGCTTCTGAAAAACACATTTCAAAAGCTTTCCGGCGAAAGCTTTGAAGAGTAGATTCTTCAAAATCGTAACTGTTTCTGTCACGTTTTACCACCACCGATTACCAAGTAAGCTTCACTGGCAACGCCAATTGTAATGTTAATAATGCATCATTGTCCAGTTCTGATTGGTTCTTAATGATGCATTTAACGTAAGTTTACGTTTGTGTAGCAACCAATACACCATTCCTCATTTCATACTATAATTCTTGTCGAGATTTGATACACCGGTTGTAGTGATCTCAAAAAGCAGTCGCGTTCAACGATTGACGATCGTAAGAAACGGATCTCTTTTCGCAATACACTCCTTGATAAAAAATAAAATCAAACCAAAATTTCAATCTTTGTATCCAAAAACTGGAAATAAACACGTGGTAAGGAAATATATTCTAAAGTTGATATTTTTCCTATAAATGGATAGCTGCTCAGTTGATATCAACTAAAAGTAATTTAATATCGATATTATAATTTCGTACTCAACATTGTAATTGTTACTCTTTAAAACTTTTAGTGTGAATTTTACTCTAAAGAGAGAGTGAAATCTAACTCTTATAAAAATTGAAAATCGAATCATTGAACTCCTCCTCAAAATTGATCCAAGTATCACTCTTTAGAGTGAGATTTTATTCCAAATAATCTAGAGAATATGTAACACCATGTGTTATATTACATTTTTTTATATTGTTGAATATGAAATTATAACATTGATGTTATGTTATTTTTAGTTGATGTCGAGTGGGTATTCAAAAAATTTAAGGGAGCGAAAATCTCCGGAGCGTGGATGGGAATGATAAAGCGATTTCTCAGCCGGATTAGTGCGCAATCCCAAATTGCCATTAAAGTTCTGACCAAACTACCGCTATGTTCTTACTTGTCGCGTATCTGGGTCGAGTATCGAAGTTAAGGGGTTCGTGGGAGAAGAGACGCGCAAGACTACGTCTGTCGCAAGCACATTTTCCACAGTGTCGTTTTTTTCTGATACATGCATCGTTTTCGTGCTGGATCGTATATGCCGTCGTAATGTGTGTTCCTTTGAATGTTCCTACGTGGGGCATTTTTTTAGCTTTATACAATTATAAATGTATAAGAATTATACACGTCGACGAGGGAAGTCACCACCACATTAATTAATTTTACTTCTACCGTATCACTCTCCCTTTACGCGTGTATCGATGTAGGTGTACATGCTAATTGTTTAATAAAGATTCAAAAGATTAGCTATTTCATGCTAAAGATGCAACATTTTTAACGTCCACAGATTTAACTGCCTACAAATGGCTTAAGTTGAGAGAAATAAGATGCACATTAATGTTATAAATTAATTATAAGTTATAAGTTAATATGTTAAGAGTTAAAGTAAATTAATAGTTAATTTAACAAATATATCGAGAGATCTGCATGCCGTCTTACCTGCAAACTGGTCCTAGTTGTACTTTTTCCTTCAGTAGGTTTCGAGTTAGAATTTTTCTGGAAGTATTCTTTGACTGAGTGTGCTTGTTATTTTAATTTTTTCAGCAATGTTATTAACAATAAAAAAAATATTATAAAGATTTCACAATAAAAATTCAAAACATTGCGAAATAAAATTGTGAAATATTTGAAAAGAAGGTTTTGAAATGCGTTTAATACATTTATCTCGTATTAGAATAATTTTAAATAAACAAGTATTATACATATATATTAAATATAAATACTGTAACTTTACAAAGTATAATAATTTAAACAATTATAAGTAGAAATCAAATTGATGAGATAATTTAACAAATAAATAAATATGTAAAAAATATCTACCTTTTTATGTTATGCATTTTTATAGATATTCCGAATAGACAAACTTAATTATTATCTGTCATTTTAATCAAGATAAAATTACATTGTATGTTCCTAACATTGGAAAGTAATATAAACGTAATAAGCAAACAATTTGTTAAAATAAAGTGAAAGCAATTCTTTGTATATAAATAAATTCAAACTCACCAATTGAGATAGTCTAGCTCGAAATGCGGGAGGATAATTGTCGCTCTCGAGTTCTGTTCCCTTGGGTAGATCAAAGTTTTCGGATTTATTGAAGGTTTTACTGCCTCTTGTCGTGCTCTTCGCCGCAACTCCCGATGCGATATCGCTCTCATCCTTTACTTTTGGTCTTTTGGTGCCTCTTCGTCCGGCATTAGTTGACGGTGTTTCGGTGCTCCTCGGTGAATCAGTGGACAAGACAATTTCATTAGTCTGATCTCGATTACTTGGCGTAGATGTAGTTGAAGAAGGAGTATCTTGATTGACGTGACCAGGTCGACGTCTGAGAGTCCATCCGGGATTACCACGTAATTGCGTTTCGCTTTTAGGCGTAGTGGTCCTTGGTTCTGTAACAATTGAGGACGATGTCTCTGTTGAGGTCTTTCGACCACGAAAACCTAGACCGTGATTAAAAAAATCTTCCTTCGGGGGTTTAATCGCTCGAGAACTTTCTCCTCTATCTCTTCCTCTATTGCGTGAAACTCGCTCAGTCGGAGTGGACGTTCGAATCGTTGTCGATGGCCTGATCGTTGTTGTAGAACTGGATGTCGTAATCTCGGCGTTCACAGAAGGAACAGTTGTAGTTTCGGCAATTGTCGCTTTCGGAACGTAAGTAGTAGTAACATCTGAAAAAAAAACGTGATTATTTTTTAAATTAGGATAATATAGAAATATTGCGTTATCAGTTATCAGTTCTGAATTCAAGAATGGATTCTCTAAAACAATATTTGAATTATGTAGAGAAGTTTTTGTGAAAAACTACATAATTAATTCAAATATTGTTTTAGAGTTTCTTATTATGAATGATCGCTAATAATATAATCAAAAGCAATTGAAGTAAATCTTTATATAAATGAAGATAAGGTCTTCTCGAGACGGTTTGCTTCCTTGAGACAGATTGTTAATTTATTAATGTTATATTAATTAATGTTTCAGGATTAAACTGTAAATTACCAAGGTTGCTCGTAGCTGCGCGTGACCGACTTCTGGATTGCACCCGGATATCTTGCTCGTCTACCTTGACTTCCGCTTTTGATCGGCTATCCTTGGATCTTCGCTTTCCTTCAGACGTTCGTCTGTCGTTACGTCGTGTATTTGCCGTTCGTCTATTTGCATTCGTTTCAGAATCGGTGTCTATATTTCTCTGTCTATCGCTATTTCTTGCTTCCGCCGTGACCGCATCTCTCGACTGATGTGTGGAACGGCCTCTCGAATTGACGTTCTTCGAGCTAGATTTGTGTCTAGAATTGGAAGATCGTCTATTCATCTCCGCAGTCACAGTACTGCTGGATCTGGAAGAACCTCGGCGGGAAGTACTTCCGGAATTTGCGGCCTCGAGATTAGGATCCCTTGTTTTGGATCTGTTACGAGATTTCGATCGACTCGACTGTCTACTTTTCTTTGTGTTCGATCTCGTTGCGATATCGTTGTTCTCTACCTTTTCCCTGTCCGACCTTGAAGCTTGTCTCGGGGACACACTGACGGACGAAGCCGTGGCGGATGTTAAAAGATTGACGTCTTCATCATTTCCATCCGTCAGAGGGACGTCCACTCTTACACTCTCGGAACCCGACAACAGAACATCTTTTGCTTGATCTTTATGACTGCCAGAATTGTCCGTGCTTTTCGTATCTATTTTCTTTGATATGTTCGCTTTTGGAGTGACGTTCTCGATCTTTGAATGTTCCAATCGTGCTTCTTCCTTTTCCGATTCCTTGCTTGGACTTTTAGCTTTCTCCACATTTTCATTTTCCGGAGATTTTCTGATTGGGATTATTTCACTTTTCGATTCTCTCCCGTGATTCACAGAAATCTTTCTTCCTGTTCTTGATCTTAAATGATTCGACTTGGTGAACACTTCGTGATCCAACTTTACATTGTCCACCCAGATGAGAGATTCGTCCGAAGACGTCCTTCGGGAAGCTGTCAATCGTTTCGGCGTTCGTGACTCAGGCGCGTTCTCTTTATTGTCGTCCCTCGTTATTTCTTCTTTAACAGCCTGTGTAGCGTGCGATTTTTGACGATTTCGTGAATTATCGACACTAGTATTCAAATGCCTCGAACTTGTCCGTGATGTAGTAGTGGAATCATCTGCCGCTTGTGATTGCTTTAATTTTGATCGCGATCTAATCGAACCTTCTCTCGCAAAATGCGTTTCATGCTTTTCTAAGTTGGCAACTGTTTCTGAATGGGAACTCTTATCGCGAGGCAACCTGATTTCCGGTGTAGGAAGACTACTCGATTCCGTCGTTGATTTAGAGTTGTATCTCGCAGTACCGCGATTTGTTATTTTCTGCCCATCCGTCTGAAAATGTGCAGTTACATATTTATAGTAATTTTAGCATCGTTTTATTAGTAGGTCAAACTACTATTAATTAATTAATTAATTAATTAACTGCATTATTTTTATATTACAAATTTTTGTTCCTGAAAGAAAAAGAGATTTTGTTAATTTCTGGAACAGAACATTTTTAATGATTACTTCAAAACATTAACCCGATTAAAATCTGTACAATTATTATACAATTACTGAAGATGCTCTAATTATCAAGATGCTTTTTTATGTTAGTTAAATAATTGACGGTAACAGCGTTAATTATAAATGCGAAGTAAAAGGCATAAGAACTTTCATGAGAACGGATTACTGCATGTGCTGAATACTTAGAAAGTACATAAATAGCTGCCGCAAGGCATTATAGAAGTATCGTTTATGTGATCGATAATCGATCAATTAAAGGCTATAATTGTTCGATTAACGTATGTATAGTTAGACAATTATGATTGTTGCGCTTTAATACGGAAAAGATGAAATGTATCGTTAATCAAAAGTATCCTTCGAGAGAAAGAAACATCTTAGAGATATATGGCAGCCCGATTGCAAAGATACCATACCCAATGAAATCGCAGGAAAGTACCAATTATGCGATTAAGAGAATCCTCTGAAATTGGGATTAACGTAAATGGTAATAACCGGTTTTGATGGATCCGATCGATCAGTTATCGTTGACAATAATGCCTGACAAACGCAATTAATTGCATTTCCAGTTGTTACGGCAAATAGGCCGTATTCGTCACAGATTATACCTTCACCGTTAGCGTTAATAAGCGGCATTAAAATCCTCGTGACTACATTGACCTGTCGATGCTTAAAGGAAAATGGCTCTAGCGTGCACACTCCTCATTTGAAAATTTTCTCCTTCTTCGCAATTGCGAAACAAACTTGTTTTCAATATTGGACGTTTGCACAAGATGCAAATAAGATGACAATATCGTTTAATCCGTCGAATTTTATGAAGCAATTATTGTAATTTTTCGTATCAAATTAATTCGCAGTGAATCGATAAAACCGTAATCAATTTATAGACATATCTAACTAACAATCCATTGACTCAACAATATACAATAGAAATTTAGCGAGTGCAGAGATATTGCTTTTGGTGATATATATATTATATTTCAAAGATCTAATTATAAATAATAAAAAATGTAGAAAAGATTTACAAATTCTGAAAATTCTAACAATTTAAATATTCCAAGTTCTCAGTTGATCGATTAATCTGAATATAAAAAGCCAGACATTCAACGATAAATGTATGTAGATTTAGGTATACCATAATAATAGAGAATTAAAAATAAAACTTTTGAGGCATTCACACATGGATATTTTTTTCAAAGAAGCTACGCGATTTGCAGCTTATTTTTGTGTTTTAATCGCTAAATGCCAATATTTCCTAAAATATTGCAATTCACTGGTCTCACCAGGATGAGACCCAACCTGATGTTTAATATAAACATATTGAACAATTATTTAAAATCTTAATTCTTATATCGTTTAATTATTCAAAATATAAAATATAATACAATACATAAGAAGCTTGAATAGCAATATATTATCATGAAATATAATAAAATTTTTTGTATTACTGTGTATAGTACTGTGTATAAATATTAAATGATAATTCTTTAACGTCAAAAAACTGCTAACAATACTTATTTCCGGATCTTCATTTTTCACAATAGTAATCAATAGTTTCTAAATCTCAAGAAAATTCTTTTTTATCATTTATATAAACAGAAATATCTCAATATATTTCATATTTCTACATATGAAATGAAGATATGATCCTTAGAATAACAGCTGCGATCATGTTATGTGCGATTCATGATATGTGAATATGCGTTCTAGTTTCATTACTATCTGTCTAAGTCTTTTAGTCGTCGTACTATCGATATTGAAAGTAAAAGTCGGTGTATCACGTCACGCTATTCCGCAAGACATGCTGTTAAAAACGAACTGTCGCGAATCTAGTCGATCAGATTTGCGCGTAATCAAAACAAAAAAAATTGAAGAACAAACTCGGAAATCTGTGTGAAAAAATTGATATGGCTTCAGTGGACGTAAATGAAAGATAAGAGGATTATCAAGTCATTTAGCTACTAAAAAAAACAACTTGCCGTTTCTTACCTGTTGGTATCAAATAAAAACCCTAATAATACATATATATATGTTTCACTACCCTATCCTTCTCCAAATCACTCCCACCAACAAATTTCATTATTTTTTTTACTAAAAAATATCAATTCGACATTAAACAGCAGACCTGTGTATTACCTTCGATTTAGCAAAAAAATTTATATTCAGGGACGAAAGGATTAAAGAACAGTGAAAGAACAGTGTCTCAAATATGTTTCTTTTTTCGTATTTTTCTGCAAAAAGCCTTTATAATGTGGACATTTTAGGGGAAAGCAATGACCAAGAATTACAAGATACTCATTCTAAATATTAAAATAATTAAAAATAAAAAACATAAATTTTTTAATGACTATATAACGCGCAATTAAATAATTTGTTCGAAAAGAAACGCACACGTTGTCGACAGAATTTATAAAGAAAAGAAAGGAACAGTGATTAGAGAGTTCCGGGACGATTCATGTAAAAAGGAAGTAATGCAAATCGCGAAAGAAAGTCAAATTAATACAGTTATGACGCGTAGAAATCGAGAAAATTTTTGGATCGCCTGACTGCCTGACGATTATTACGAAATAGGTGCTTGTAACACACCGTGCGGATATTGGAAAAGTTCTTTGAACAGGTGAGAGGCTCGGCTTCGCTCCGCGAAGGTGGACTGCTTCCACACCATCGCGTCGGATCAAAAGGGTCGTCTATGTCTGGGCGCCATTATCCTTGTCCTGTACCCCGATGGAATTTGTATCGATAATATTATATTCAACCAAGTTTAATTCAAGCAAGTTCCATGTGAAATGACCTTCCATATCTTTTGACGTATCGCCTTCTTGCGAAAATTCACAGAATCATATTGCGAGATTGTTACCTGCCCTGCTTTTATTCAGTCTTTATTTGTATATATACCTGTATATATTTTTTCCGTTTACGAGATATATAATTTACAGTTTCCTTATCATTAACTTCATACGTAGTTAGCTTTAAATGGATTTATTAGTTATCTACGATTAAAACAATAAAGAGTAATGATAAGAAATAATTCATAAATTTGAATTGTACAAATAATTATTTTAGTTTAATATAAATTTGTTTTATGTTTCATTTTTTATGTAATTATCAAAATTATTAAATTCTTATATTACAATACTGATGATAATTATACATAAAAATATAGTTAGATTTTACATTAAATGCTTGTAGAAAAGCTTGTAGAAATGCTTTTTTAATTGTGAATATGTATGAAGATCGTCAGTATTTCACAATAAAACATATTTCAAGGATAAAAAATATAGAAAGTTTTGATGAGGTATTTATAATTATTTTTTAAAAAAAGGTTGAACTAGTTAGCATTTTTGGGCGACAAATATAGGAAGTTTTTAAATATCGCTTTGAAGGCTTTGCAAATCATTATCTTATTTATTATATTCATGTCACGCATATGAGAGTATACATAAGCGCGACCTAAAAAAAACTGGTCCGAATGGACCAAGGGTGTGGTCTCGGCGCCGGATCCAACTCAAGCAATATAACAGAGTTTACTTAAGAATCGTTACTTTCACCCAAACTTTTATTCTTTCTTGGATATATATTTTACACTATATAAAGTATACTGAATAAGAATATATCTAAAAACGTTAACAATTTAAAGATTATAATACTATAAAAATTATTTATTATAAAAAGAAATATACATAATACATATTTTATTTTATGCAATACAAACAAATGAAAGGCAAAAAATTTATAATGCAATTTATATTTAATTTGTTCTCATCTAGAACAATCAGTATATTTGAGCTTGAGATAAATGGTAGAATTTTTGCAGCCTACAAAAACCAATTAAGTTATGAAATCTTATTCTTTGTTTAAACTTAATGAACATTGTACTCTTTGTACAATTAAAAATTTTTATTAAAAATACAATTAATATAAGATATTTCATACTAACTATTATTTGGTTATAGCAAATTATAATCTTTACCTAAAATTTTTCTAGAAGCATTAACTTTTCTAATTTAATAAACAATAATAAGGCTCTCTAAGTATAAAACAATATATGCAAAGAGCCAGTAATGTATTAATAAATTTAATTAAAATTAAATCATAAAATTTATATAATAATTACAAAACGACAAACAAACGTTCGACTCCGCTTGAGTCATTTTCAATGTTGCGGTAATATTCAAACATCGCTATAAAAATATCTATGATATTACATTCTTTATCTAATTCTTCGACTAATTTATGTTCTTAAAATTAAGTTTTCGATGATTCTGAAATGTTTTACATCACGTCGCTCTATTGATAGAAAAGTAACATATCAAAATTAGCATCTTTTCAGTAGAAAATTTTTTAAATTTTAAATTTAAACAATATTTTAATTAAAATAGTAAATAATTTCACTTTTTGTTCACGTTATACTTTGAATTATTGTATAATGTATAATGTATATTTAAAGTGTCATGAAGTCTTAAAACTGTCGTTTTAAACCACGATCGCTTTCAAACACCGCAATTTAAATGGTAATTTTTTACATGTGTCACATTTATGTATATCAATGAAGCGATGTAATATGAAAATGTATTTTAAGTCTGAAAATAGACAGTTTCCTGCATTTATTATATAGCTTTAATAAAGTAATAAACAACAGATATTAATAATTAACGTGTGATATTAAATAAATGTTAATATGAAGAAATGTTTACACTTGAATACTTAATTAAATGATATCAAAGAGCTTTTTACACCTGCAAGCAAATGCGAAATGAATCACTTGAATGCAATAATCTTGACTAAGAGTTTAAATGTTGCATGCAATATAAAGCAACTTTTCCCGTTAA